GGACTAGCTAATGACTGCACAGGTGAGTGCTTACCTAACCGTTCATTTGCTGCTCACTGCAAACAGGGGTGGACCCTTGTGCATACCTTTAACTACATTGGAAAAGGCTCCACACATCGTTTCCAAATGCTTTCTAAGTTTCAACTGGAAATTTAAGAAAATTTTAACAGATCAAGTTGTAGCAATTACATGGGACACATTGTTACAAACTTCCAAGACTTCCTCCTTATTTAGAACTTGAAAGGAATCCCTTTTAAGCCAAAGTAACACACTAACAGGCACAGGAGGAATCAATAAAAATAACAGCAGCTAACATTTATAGAAGTTTTACTATCTGCCAAATGTTTTACTTTCATTAACTCATTTAATCCCACAGTGGGGAGATATCCTATCCATTTAATCCCCATTTTACAGATAAAGGATCCAAGGCTAGGTCAAGATCATTGTTCAAACTCACATAAACAGTAAGAGCAGCTGAAAAGCAAATTCTATGTCAACCTCTTAATTCAATTTCTATTACAGTAACATAAAAATAAAAGTCAACACACAGCTTCAAGCAAGGAATGAGCAGAATATGCAAGGCAAGTTCAATAATGTAAGCAGCATACACTTTTTTTTCTCTATTAAAAGACACATCCTTGGCATCCAAGAATTGAAGTTCCTACTCATATTCCAACTCAAATACAGCAGAACAAAATGTTATAGAAAGGTTTTTTTGCTTGTTTGTTTTTAATTATCTCTGGCCATCAAAAGATATTACACAGAAACTAAACTGTTAATTCAGACAGAAGCTGGCTTCAGAGTTTAATCTACTTCTTAGAAGACATGCCCTGGGTGAAGGAGGAAAATAAGTAAACATATTCTCAAAGGGGGTTCTTTATATTCTAAACATGTATTGTGAGAACCTGGCACAGTACTTCATGGGAATGGGAAAGAAAGAACTGCACTAGCTACATGATTTTAGCTAACATTAAAATATATTACAGCAGCCATCAAACATCCCGTTGCATTCTATGCGAGCTGAAAACTGCTCACATTGTGATTCACATTCTCGGAAGATGAAAATCAATTAGCAATACCACCCACAAACCCCAACCCGTCCTCTGTGAAAAGTACACAAGAACTGAACGGGGCTAGTACTCTGAAAAAAAAAAAATAGGTTTCCAAGCTATACGGATGGCAGAGGAAGAAGGAGCAGAAGGAGACACACACCAATGCTTCTCCACAAATCTGCTCCAGAAATTGTACAGAATGTTTTTGCAAATTACATTTTCATTTACTTGGGGCTGCTGGCAAGTCTGCCGAGCAATGGCTCAAAATACTAGAGGGCCAACAGAATTCCTTAAAATGCTAACAGAAAAGAGAGACAAAATGAATTTAAATTCTATAATAAGAAGAAACACAACAAGATCAGATAGAAACAAAGATATAAACTAAAATATGCCAATTCAAGCAAGCATTTCATTTTTGCACAGGCAATCGACATGCCATAAAAGCCCGACTCTGCTCTCAAATTTTAAGTCATTACACAACATACCAGCCCTTACAGGCAAGAGCACACTGTAATACAATCTCACATATTTATCCAAAGATCATTCAAAGAAAACTCACCACGGCTGCAAACGTGTATATGCTTGTGTTCAGAGGGAGAGCAGCGCAGCTCTCTGTACTTACACTAGGGTTCGCTTCAGTGCTAAAAGCACATCACCACAGCCCTGCCTATATTAAGTCCCCACCAGCAGCCCGCCTTTGGGTTGGGCTTTTCTCTTACAAGATAAGCTGTTAAGTCATGCCTTGATTTTAGATCTACTAACATATGGAGCCTTCTAATGCAGCCTGCTCTCCGCCCCCTCCACTCCCCCTCCCCATCTCTACTCAGCTCTACTCCCTCTCCACACATACACATACACACATACAAAAAAGGCACTGCAGGGCAGAAATTCCTCAGGTGCTCGCTAATGGAATTCCCAGGGTCTAGGAGCCGCTTCGGGGATCAAGAGATCTCACAGCCCCTGCTGGGGTAAGGAGCAGCGAGTCTGTTCCATTTAATCAAATACAGAATGAATTTTCAGCTCTATTCACTAGCTTGTCTCCAGGGCTCTCAAAAGGCACCAGGCATCTAGAATCACACACATGTGGCTCTTTTAGGCAAGTATAATTAGTTTGATTTTAAAAAGCCACATTAATAATATCACCTCAGGACCATTATTCAGGGGCCAGATGACAATGATACTGTATGTTTTAAGCCTGACAATGGAGGGAAAGTGCACAAACAATGAGAGAAAAGTTGAAGGGTTTTTTTTTGTTTTTTTTTTAAGGAGAGAAAAAAAAACACACCACAGCTTTTCATTTCAATGTAACCCAGTATTTTAAAAGTGACAAGTATATTATTGTATACTACCCCTTAATTTTAACAATAAACAAATACACCCCTCCCTTCCTGCACATAGCCGGTGCATGCCACCTACACAATACAAATTTATCACCTGGAGTGTTTGGACACAATGTAAAAGTGTAAATAAAAAACAATGTAACATTTTCTAACTCAATCTAAGTGAGTAAAAATCTCTTGGGGGAAAAAAAAGCACCAGTCAAAAACTAAACAAATAAAACAGCACAATGTTAAAAAAAAAAAAAAAAAGAAGAAGAAGAAGAAGAAGAAAAAGAAGAAACTCCTTCACGGCAGTACAGTTAGCAACCAGACTCAGGATTCCTATTTTAATTTGTTTGTATTAAGATCATTAAGCTAAAGAAAGCCTACCTGTAGACAATTCATCTACACGTCTAATGTACTGTCCTAGCTACAATTCTACACAGTAGAGATGCTGATCACATGATGTTAACTAATAACACAGATTAAAACAACAAATTTCCAATTCATTTATCTTTTATAATCTTGATTCCTTCCTTGATTTCACAAAGATAATGGTTAATTCCTGAAATCACTTCCCTAGTATTTTACTTAGAAACATTCATCAAATTTTTGTCTATATGTTCACAAAAGAAACATCTCCAGAGAAGAAAAACCCTACTGTCATTAAAGAAAGGAAGGAAGGAAAGAAGGAAGAAAGAAGGAAAGAAAGAAGAGAGAGAAAAAAGAAACTGTCTAGCGAACCTTAAGAGTATGCACACAGAGGAAAAATAAGAGGAAATCGTAAGAAACAGTTATTAAATTTTACCTGACTTTGTGGAGCACCACCCTATGACACAAGTTCCTATCCCTGGGCACTCCTCTATATATGCCTTGATGACGGGGGAGGGTCCTATCTTAAAGTGAAGTTAACGCCTTCCACAAAACGTCAAGCCACCTGCAAACCCTGCCAGAAGCAAGGGAGATGCAGGAACCAGCCTACACAAGTTGGACTAGTGTACACCAGGTCCTCAGATTCTTCCTACTTCTGCTTGAAAGTCGGTGCTGTTTAAGTACTTTGCACGGCAGAGGCTGATGAGAACCACAGCAGTCAATCACAGCATCCCAAGTGAGTTACTACACACACAAACAATAGCACAGCACCTCCAGTGACTGATTTGGTTAGGTGATTAAACTGTTCAAAGAAAGACTTCCCAAATACTGTACCCGAGTTTTTGCAAGAAAGTTAAACAATATACATTTGTGTGCTTTATGGAAATATAAACGTTTCTCCTTTACACACTGCCAAACATACACCCAAGGCACGTCTTTACAAAATGAAACAGGTTTTCTCCATCCTTCTCATATAACTTAAAGCATGTAGCAATTTATTTCAACATGTGCATAACAGAGGCTACAGTATTCAGTGCCTCTGAGTTTCTAAGAATTCTTTCCAGTTCAACACTAATTTAAAATTCCCAGAAAATGTCTGAATATTTTTCTCTCGTCTTATCCTAAAAGTTAAACTATCCATATCCCACATTTTCATCTATAAGTAAACTGGAAAGGAGGAGTTATAAAAATGTAACAGAATGTCTAGAATTACATTAAAAATAAGGCACCTCTTCTCCAGCCCCCTACCCACCTCCTCCTGGCAGACAGTCCTTGAGCTATGCCAAACGTTCAGTGGGAATCTGAGGGGTATGGTGTCAGTGAGGCATGGACTCTGAATTAAGTCACTTAGCCTCTTCATCATTCCTAGCATTGGCCTGAGACCAAATCTCACGTTACCTTTTAGTCCAACCTCCTGTTTCCCAAGGTGTCTGATTAAGGACACAAAGGCTAGCTTTCTGTTAATGAGGTTCCCTAAATTCGACAGCCCAACTGGGGAGCAGTCTGCCCTTAAAACACCTGCCACCCTCTGTGGTCCCCGTGAGGAAAGGCAGGCATTCTGTGGCGAGTTCTTTTCTCGAGGGCCTTCCACCTGATTTGGTGGGGTTAGGGAGAACAATGAAGCGAAGGGCAAGGGAGTCTATCTATCCCCCCTCGGTGATTTATTACTGAAATTCCTAAAAGTGGAGAGAAAGCAACAAAGGTCTGAAGCTGCAGGCTGAAATAAATAGCGATGTATTTAAAGTATTTAGTAAATGATAATGCGAGCCACAGAAAGCTTTACAGAAGAGAAGGAAAAAAATACACTCCCTGGGGCTGGGAAGTCACTGAGTCTGTGAAGGCAGAGAAAGATACATTGTGCAGGAAATTTCTCTTGCTTCTCCCTACACATAAATCACTGTCTCTCCCCGGCACTCTGCGGGGATGGAGAGGGGAGACAGAGACGGCTCCCCTGGGAAAAGCGCCGGCGCCCTCTGCTACGCTGCACCCCACCTGCCCTGGCAGATCTCCGAAGAAGACCTCAGCGTGTCACTGACACCTCACCCCGCCTCCTCCTGCGAGGTGGCTCCAAGCGTCCTAGGACGCGGCGGTGAGCCGGTGGCCGGGCATCCCTCAGCTACCCCTCCACCTCAAACCCTTTGCATCTTGAGGGCAAGCTGGCCGCCGCTTCCCCAGGACCTCCCGCTCCCGAGCCGTGCGGCTCCGAGCCCGCGACCCCGGGGCCACCCTCGGGGACCCTGCCGCGGGACCCCCGCACCTCTCCGCGGGGCTGGCTAAGCCCCCAGACCTCCTGCGCGGCAGCCGGCTCCGAGAGCCACCCCCAGGTCATCCCCCCGCGCGCTGGCGGCGGCGGCGGCGGCTGCGATCCGAACGGGCCCCTCCATGCACCGGGCAG